TACAAACTTGTGATGAGAAACCCGAGCGATCGGCGAAGGCGCAAACGAAGAAGACGGATAAGCAGCACAAAGGCGACCAGAAACAGGATGAACCAGATAGCCGAAGTCTATTTGATACCAAATACCTTGCCGAGGTGTACCAAGACTTCTACCGCGAGCTGGCAAACGCCTACGCCGGGTTTATAAATGGCTTTAAAAAGTACAAGTGATTTGAACAACAGCGATACACAAAGATAGTGTAAGAAGTCTCTTGTGGCATATGGTCTTCTACAAAAAGGGATAGACGTTGTTAGGTGGAAGTATTCGGTTGTACAATGCAACACGGGCATCCGTTCGTCACCGGGCCTCGAAAACGCTCACTAATAAAAGAAAACAACAGGGAGAAACCGATTACCATTTTGTTCTTCCAAGTGAAACCTTAGGCGACCTACTTCAATGACTTAAATTATGGCAACGTAACCAGGAAAGCGAAAACGCACCATAAATGAGGTGAGATTTAGCGATGGGAGTGAGTAACTTACTTCTCTTAGACCGCTTTTTGTAAAGAACGCGATGCCCACACTCTAGGCATCTCACGAGTTCACGCGGTTTAATCTGGTTCTCTGCCCGACATTCTGAAATGAGGAAGCTTAGTGAAGCCGAATGAAGAGACCTGGTTTCTAGGTCACCAGCCACAGTTATCGTAAGAAATGCCAGCTTCAAAGCAGGGTAGGCTGGATAGGCTTACCAAAATAGTACGGCATCAGAATGGGCAATAATTAGTCGGTTGAAGTCATACAAATGTTCACACTCATATAGTATTAGCCTAATTGAATCTTCACAGGTAGTGAATAACCTGACATTCTCTCCGCCTGTTATCAACTACAACCGGCTCCTACGATATGAATCAACTCCAGCTTTATCGAATACTCAATGGAGTTAACGTACCTCCGCATATGTATGCTACTGTACGTTTTGTTGAGGCTCCTGTTGCTGCTGTAGATTCACTCGTCGATGGAGTTTCGAAATTCGCCGACATCACTAACAAGACCTAACCCGCAGGATAGCGTATCGTCGCGCACTAAAACTCACACATATTTGACCTAATGGAAAATACAAACAAAAGTCGCACTGTGAGATTTCATAGCCTAGTCTCATGTGTAAATTATTTAGCTGCTTTTCTAGATTTTGATTAAAATTAGTTAAAACCAATAATAAACAGCACGCCTTGTGGAATGAGTCTAAAGTTTTAATCACAAGTAAGCATTTCTACCACTCATTTGGTTAATAAATGTGGATTTTGAACCGAATTTAGCAATTTTTAATGATAATTATTTAGCATCTTGAGGTATACGTGGGCCACCCGCTTGGCTCAAGGCCAGGCTATGTATTCTAGAGCATAGCGAACGCAAGATTGACCTCCAGTCATGCGTGCGGCCTAATCAGCAATGTACGACTTTGCTGCTCCCTTCATTTCATGACAATGCTCTAGTTGAATCTCTCGCTCCGGCCATCACAACACATTCGATGCCGCAGTGAAGATCAC